TCAGAGAATGAGAAACCCTTGGCAAAATTTTTAATGCTATTCAAGTGGGGTCTTGCAGTTCACCAAGATCCTCAAAAACAAAACCCATGAAGTGATATGGTGGCTTTGAGCATATGTCACACAGAAGAAAACCAGATAGGAGGGACTGTCATCATCTTCTCCACAACTACGAGACATATAATTGAAAGGGAGATTCAATCTCCAAACATAGTTACCTAAAATACAGTGACATGTGAGTAAACCTATCATAAGACTGATGTCTATACGGGACATTTCAATGAGAGAGCTGAATTTCCTTTTATTGGGCCATGGCCAAATTACATACATATGCCTACATATAGTTGAGGCTTTCCATCTTTTATTAAAAAGTTGTGATATTATGTTGTGTATCTGGGTAATATATTTTACGAATTGTCAACGTGATCTGTATTTATTAATTTTTTTTACTTTTGGATGATAGTTGCATTTGCTAGTTAGTTAGATATGAAATTTGTCAATGTTTTGGTTTATTTAGATGAAGCTATTACTACAAAGTGATCTGTAAAAATAGCTCTCTATTGAAGGAAAATCAGCAGTGAATAATGTGTTAAGTACAGTTTCCGAAACACTTACGTGAGGCTCTCTTACTTTGATTGAATATAAATAAGTTACTTTCTACTGTTTATTATTAAAATACCGGACAAAGTCTGTTGTCCAAAGTATGATTCCAGTAACGGTATGAACTAACTATATGGAAGATGCACTTTAAGTTTGTAAAGTAAACTTTCATGCTAGATCTTGTCAAAAGTTTGCATTATACTAAGAAGATTGCCAATGCTCTCTAAAGAATTTATGAACAGAGTGAACCTGTTCGATTGTAGTATGCTGCTTTCTGAAACCAGTACGTGGTAATAGAATTTCCTGATTCATACCTCCCTTTTGTTTACCCAAAGTTTTGTGAATAAACAAAACATGTATGTAATTCCGTAATTATAACTGAAGAAGTTATGGCATTCTGAGATTTTTTTCTATTCACAAACTCTAAAGGGTATTTAAACGTTTTTAAACATTATATAAGATAAAGCCTATGTATCTCAGTATATAAATTATGTTGGAATAAGTGCAAAATATCAGAGAAAGGTTTCTTTGAAGGAGATGGAAGCTAATTTTAAAATAAAATAAATACCATATTATTTCTCTATTATTCCTCAGGCAGACAAAATCATAGCAGAACAAACAAGTGCGAAATTTTGGAAAAAAGAATATTTGCATTTGAATTTTTTTCCACGTTAAAAGAAAGAGTAAGATATAGGTGTGTAAAAACATACATCATGTCATCAATAGTAAGATACTCACAATCAATTCACAGTATTTTAAAAAAAGGTTCTCTCTCTGTTTGTTTGAGGAAACAAATAAATGTATATTAAAAAGACTGGTATGCAAGGGTTTGCAAATCGTTAGGAAACTAAAGAATTGCTATGCAACTGAAAGTTTGCATAAATGTATATGGGTCATTCTTTTTCAAATTGGACACCTTTTTGACCTCATCATCTCCGATTTGGCTGAAGTTTTTGAACTCTTTTTATTTAATAACAAGACCCATATTCAATTTTAAATTTTACTAAGAAATTTTCAGGATGGAAAAATTTCAGATTTACCAATAAAATTTATTTAAAAAATAAATATTTCCAGTGTGGCTTTGCTTTTAGAAGTAATTAAAAAAATGAATTTACCAGGTGTCCAAAACGTCACTCATACGCACCATAACACCATTACATAAATTTACCAAGAGAAACGATACAAAAATGTTTACTTTTTATTTCTGAATTGAATTTAATTTTGTATGAGAATGCAAATTTTTAGGACGTTGTTTTTCTCAGAAGTATTTTTATTAAAAAAATCACTTTCACATTATCTCTATTTTTAGAGTACAAATTTGAAATTTTTAATATTCCTTCCGATGACTCTCAGCCAAATATGAGATGATGAGGTCAAAAAGGTATCCGATTTATAAAATAAAGACCCATATACATATTTACAACTAACTACATGCTGACTGTCCATATATGTTCTATACCAGGCTTACCAGACGAGGAATTCCTATTTCTATTTAATATAAAAGAATGCGCTGTTAGCTTTTTTAGACATATTCGTTTGAAGAACAAAGAGTCTGCATTGATCGAAGTGTTTCGTCTTTTTAGGAGCCAGTACCCTGTTTGTTTCAACTTTTGTTTATAATTTGAAGGTTCGTGGATATCACGATGCGTAATACATTTTCTTCCAATTGAAAAGGTTGTTGAAGTTATCAGCTTTACTTATCATTAGTGGAATTGTAATGGCCAAAAAAACATAAATCGGCGTAAATACCAAAAACAATTTTTTCCGATTTTTTAGTAAAAATATATATCATAAAGAGGTTTTTTTGAACAGTAGTAAACTACAACAACAAAAATTTTATTTTTTATATTATTTTATTTAATTGAATTTTTGGCTGAGCATACAGCTGTTTTGAGTATTGCCAAAATACCCATCATCAGTGGTCTTGGAAATAATTATTGTGTTTATTTATTCGTAAATAATTATTTTTTTTAGACTGCAAGTACCAGGAATCGAACTCGGGTCCTGCCAAATGTGAAGCTCAGAATCAGTGCATCTTAACCAACTGATCCAAAGCCGTACTTGACTTTTTATTTCTGGAGTTTTTGTTACTTTTGCTATGAAAGTTTTTATTAACAATTTTATTTGCTGTGTTTATATTACAACGAAATCATAAAACAGCTGTAGAATAATTGAGTTAAACTATTTATTGTATTATAATTAATTATATTAATTATAAAAAATATATTTATATCATGCTATTAAAATAGATTAAATATCCTCTTTCAATTTATGATATATTGCCTTTTACTATATGAAATATCGAATGAAATATTGTATTTTTATTCTGGATACACCGTTACAGATTGACTTTTCCGGCAGTTGGAAAGCATTAACACCCACAGCGTGAAACTTTAACCCACTAAAATCACAGTTTAGGAATAAATGACGAAAATTTCTAGCATTCTCCCGAAGGTTGTATAGGTGAAACTTTTTATAAAATCTCTTGTCATGCCTGTTCTGTCTTATGGTGAAAAATCTTGCACAATTACCAACATTTATGAGAAAGTTTAATCTTTTCCATACAAGAGAAACATTCCTCGGAAGATTTATGGACTCTTATACGTTGGCAATAAATATCAAATTAGATTCCACAAAGAATTGCGTGACTTATATCACATCATAGACATAGTTAAATGTATACAAGTTCAGTTTCTGCACTGGCTTTTTGTCATGTTGTGGGAATGGACGAAAATGCTAACAACAGAGAGATGTTTGATGGGATACCTGCAGGTAAAAAGGACGCACACAATTTCGGTGGAACAGCAATGTGAAGAGAGTTGCTTGATTTCGTACTCGCAGGTGAAAAATGCGTTATGAATGTCCACATTTTCGGTGAAAGTACCAGGTGAACAGCAATATGAAAACACTCGCTATTAATTGGGTTAGCTATCGGCAGCTACGGACGTGGTCAAGTATAACACGCCTGTAATGACTAACTAAGTAAATAAGTAAGATGTTTAAATAAAAAAAATTTCAAAATGTTTGTAATATTTTTATTTAGAATAAAATAAATAAAAACTATAAATTTGTGTTTAATTTTATTTAATTCAATTTTTGTTTGAAAAGATTTTTACAAAAATAATTTAATGCTTAAAAGATTAATTACATACGATATTAAGTATTAATAATTTGCCGCCCTAAATCATTTTTCACACGCGCTTTAAAGCAAATACTTATGAGCCGCTTACCCTTCCGCCACTGTCACATGCGAAAATGCATATTTGTCATAATAAGGTTGCAAGGGAAGCACATGCAACAAATGTTGCTTATAATAAAATACTCGCTCGTATTATGTGGATAAGTATCATCGGATATGATTGCAAAAGTATGCAATACCCCGCATGTACGTCCGCCTGTCCAATGCATATCCGACTACTAATAATTTTTTTTCTCTCTTTAATAGTGCAGTTAGGTGTTTAATGAAATAACGGCGTGAGCACTATTTACAGCGGCAGCTAAGCTTAAAGAGAATTGTCAATCTAGAATATTACATGTGTAAATATTCTATTGAGCTGTATTTGGTTTTGCTTTACTTTATTTTATTACTCTGCTGAAATGCTTTCTTTCTATTTGTGTGTGTGTGTGTGTGTTGCTACGAGAAGCAAAGCTTCGCTGCCACTTCGACAAGCTTTGCTGTTGTTGCAGCTTGTTTCGTTATGTTCACTAAATATCATAATATAGTGAATAAATAAGCATTTGTATGCATGCAATAACAATACAAATATCAGCACATCAACGCAACGTCGCAACGTCACAACATCGCAGCTTTCGTACTGTTAGACAGACACTTGATGCTGCTTTGCTGTTGCGACTGCGACTGCGATTGCTGCTGCACAAAATCCACTGTTAATATAGTCATAAAAAAGCGAAAACAAATTAGAACAACAACAAGAACACTATAAGCACCAACAACAGTACAAACTGCGGGAGACAGAAACACAATTCGCGCCTCTCGGCCGAACTTCAGCTTTTGCTGTTTTAGTTTTTGTGTTTTTGTAATATTTGTTTGTTTTTAATTTTTTCCATTTTTTTTCTGTTTTTACTTTTTAGTTTCAGTTTCGTTTTTCTATTTTATTTTATTTTATATTATATTTTTTTACATATTTATTTTATTTAAAGCTCACACTCATTTGATTTTTCTTTCAATTCAGTTAATACACGAGTACATCAGCTCTGGCAGTATTCCTTCACTTCAGTAGTTCAGTACTTTTTTATACGCAGACGAGTTAAGTTATCGTTGCAGAATTTTTTTTAAAGTTTCAGTCTCGCACTATTTTTAAAATTAAAATTAAAATAAGAATTTATTTTGTTTTGTCGCTTTGGCTAATATAAAAAAAAATCAACTCTATAATATACAAAACTATAAAATACTATAAACATTTAAAAACAAATAAATAATAAACAAAATAAAAAAATTTTAAACAAATTCAAAACCGGGGAGTGCTACGCAAAAGGCGCGTGCAGTGCCGTGTTTACCGTTTAATGATCGTTGCCAACCCGAATGAGGAATTGTTTTATAGTATAATTTACTATTGTTGTTGTCACGAGATTTTTGTGGTAAATAGAAATTTTTTAAAAATTTTTTAAAAATTTTTGTAAATTATAAAATAAAAAAAAAATTTCAAAAAATTTCTTTTTAAAAAACAAATGCTGATATAATTAAACATGAAATGTGTTTGTCAATTTTGTCACTTCCAGTATATATAATATTTTTTTATAATATATAAAAAAAATTTTTTTTTTTATATACATACATTATTTTTAAAAAAATTATACCAATTTGTGTTCTTCAAAAACCGTTTTTGATAATATTTTAATTTTTTTTTTGTTTTTTTAATTGACTTAAATACTCAAAACTGAAACCACAGAGTTTGCGGTTTTGTTACAAATATTGACCTATTGACAAAGAAATATTTGTCATGCAATCATTAAAGTTAAAACATTTAAATAAAGTGACTATGTATTATTTAATTAAAATAAAAATGTTCACATTAGTGTCTCAATTATTTTTACAATTAGTGACAAAGTAACGGCAGATAAACAATTTAAATGAACTGCACAGTTATGAATTATACAATTATAAATTTGATTTTTTTTTTTACAAAAATTAAAGAAATAACTTATTGATTTTACATTGCAGAAAGCAAAGCTTAACTTAACATATATAATTATTTTAAAACCCAAGACGCACACAAGTCAAAGTGCTAGCTAACAACACCAGAAAAACACAAAAAAAGTAATAAACGAAAATAAGTGATAAAAAATAAACAAAAGCCTTTTTGAACCTTCCTGTAAATACCAATATTAAGATTTGTACATTACGAATCCATATGTTATGTCCACGTATCGTTTTGTGTCGCTAGTAGTCGCAGTCCCGAATTAGGCCCATGATTTAATTTTACCGTCCATCCGCTTAAACACCATCAACAGAAACAACATACTTGCTTAAAAATTTAAAATGCACACAAGTCAAAGTACAAGCTAACTACACCAAAAAAGCTTAAAAAATAATAAATAAAAATGGTATAAAAAATTAAAGTTAGCTGTTTTAGGATTTTATATAAATATTCTCTGCATAAACGTTTACAATAAACGTATTAAAGTTTAAAATAAACTTTTTAAAAAAAACCAAAAAAAAAAACGAACGCATTTGTTAGGTGTCGCCCTAAATTAATCCTATAAAACAGTTTAAGTATTAATCCGAGTTACCCCAATCCAAATCAAAGACTACATCAACTTATATAAATGGACAGAACAAAAAAACTTCTTTTAATATATAATATATATTCCTTTTGAAATTGATGTTTTTTTTTGACTGACAAATCTAGGTTACCTTTTTTCTCCCGGACTCACATTTAGTAAAGTTTTTATTTAGGATTACTTGATCTCAAGCAAAAAACACTTAATTTATATATATCTAGATACTTTGTTAGATTAAAAAAAATTACTCTGAAATTAACAGCTTCTGTGTATTATTTGCTTATAGTAATGTTAATATTACCCTAAACATGTTCAATTGGGCCACAAAACTCGAGCAAAATAATGAGACAAATCGAGAGCAAATCCAGATTTACTAAGTGAGAACGACATAAGTTTTTCTCTACGCTAATGCAACTGACATACTTTATAGTAGACTTTACGAATATTAATAGTAATCCCTGCTTCAAAAATTACAACTATTATGTGTAATACTTTATGTTAAAATGGTTCTATATAAAAAAACCTCACTAATAAAAACAATCCACTGTTAACTAATGCACAACCATATCTCGTCGGAATAAAAACTTAACGAGACTTGACAGATAGACGGTCGTATCGTAAACAACCAAAGGTCTAGCATACATATGGGCGTCGTAATAAGTATATTTTTTTTTCTTAATACAACTAGAATAGAACTACTTAATATTAAATTGGTTTTATAAAGAAGAAACCTCATTGTCGAAAAATATTCACTGTTCAACATTAAACCGTTTCGAGATGACGAACTAGCAAAGGACTAGGTCAGATAAAGAAGTCCTGATAAGTATAGTATTACGTCACGTCTCATTGAAAGACTTTAACCAACTGTCATTATAATGGCAGATAAAGTAAAATCGTAAATTTAAAAGTGTTAGGCCAGTTATTTTTTTAGATTGCATGAAAATAACATAATTTATTTTATCTTTGTTTATGTCTGCTATGTATTACAATAGTTAGAGTCCCGCCTGAATGTCACCCACCTTGAATACATTGTCACTATTCCACATCGGTTACTAGCAACTCACAACACTACTTAGACTTAACACATCTCTTGGTACAATGAATTATTCACAACCATTCATGAAATTTCAATATTTTATAATTGGCGCGATTTTGATTTTATGGATAAGTCCATTTGACAGCGTAGTCGTCTATATAGAGCAACTTTTTTTACTATGCAATGCGTCGATATAGTTTATCAAAATGTCAAAGTTTAAAGTTGTAAACTTTATATATTCCAAAATCTATCTAATTTTCTAGTAATTAGACTTTATAGTCAAAATTTCGAAAATATTGTTGAGATTTTAACCTTAATACATATTTGTCGGTACTTCATTATTCCAGCGAATTAGATAGTGTCGAAACTTTAAATATTTTTTCGAACTCTTTAATGATTGGTTTCAAACTTAAATGCATATCCGACTAAAAATCCAAAATTTTTGATTTTATTTAGATATTTCGTCAAACCTCAGAATTGATTGCAAGCATCCCTATATTTTTTATTTTTACTCGGACGTAAATGCACTCTGATCATTTATAGGGCACTCTACGACAACTAGACTAGCCAGATCGTGTATCCACTTATTGTTGGTGGATTTAATATAAAAATTTCCTACTTTAAACCCGGATATCACGATAGCCGGATATGTGAAATATTAACAATATTAACATATAGCTTAGCAAAATGTTGTAAAAAATAGCTGTCCGTGTTCAAATATGTTGTCAAATGGATATATCCGAGAACTCGGAAACATCTCGAATTCATTTTTCAAAAACATAATATTTAAACAAAAACAAATACTGATTACCAAAAGAGTTTGAGTTAGTCAAATTTTGGAAAAAATGCTATCTATAATCTGACAATTCAATAATCTGGAGGTTGAGGTAATCTGATCCGAAAACTTGATCTCGAATATTAGATATTAATTCAGCTATTAATAACCCGGTTACTCAATGATTTGAATATTGAGATAATTCGGACATAGTGAAAGATATATTTGGATAATTAAAATCTGAATTATATGAATCCAAAACGTTTAAATTTCAGTGATCTAAAAAACTCCTATAACAAAATTGCCTGGAATGTTAAGAGCATATTGCAATTATTTTCAATTTTCATATAAAAATGTTTAGTATAATTGGTTCTCAACCACCAAAAAATCAAAAAATTTTTTTCAAAATTTCTTTAATATTAATTTAAAATATAAATACAATGTCTATTAAACTTCAAGAGACTTTCATAAATACATCGAATTTTTACGCGTATAATCCTTTAGCATAATAGGTTTTAGTCTGCTAGGACAGAGTCCCAACTTAACGAGTGCAATATTCGATTTTATATTTTTTTATTGCCATAGATATTTTAGAATTTATATTAAACTGCCATTTCAATAATTGAAACTAATTCAATATTGAATAGAAATGGATAAACTTATATATATGTTTATATCTTTTAGATATATATAATAGCATTTACAAGCTACACAAAAGCATTTTTTCTGAGATATTGCCATGCTCTTTATTCACTTCATAGTGTATAATTTTTAGTGCTGGTTAATAGCAACTAATAATATTGAAAGGTTTGTGTAAATCATTTGAAGCACCATGGCACACTACATTAAATTAATCACATTAGATTGGGATAAGTGACCATTTCCACAATACTCACCAGACTTGGTGAGTATGACTTTTTGCTTAAAAGAAATTTTAGTCAGGATCAGGAATAATTGCTGTAATAAATGAATATATTGAACAGTTCTAGAAATCCTATATGTAAATGGTTTAAAAAATTGAAACATCATTGAAGTAAAGGACAAAATGTCGACAATTGTAAGCAAATAAAAACTCAACTGCTTTCAATTATCACTGATTGTTCTATATGTCATTCTACAAATCTATTGATTTAATATCGTATGAAAATTACCAGTTTAAAACGATGAAATTGATTCTTTTAGAAACATAGTATTTGATCAATTTTCCATTCCTTTTCGATTTGTTTTGGTTCCATAAGAGCTAAATTACAGCATTGATAATTACTGAATACAAACGAAGTAGATACATAAATATGTCGCTCTGGTTTTTTCGTTATGATGAACAACATGGTTTTACTCATAAGAAGTAACTAGTTTCAGTCATAAGTAAACTATGAGATGACCCAAACGGCAGAAAGAGTTGATTGTGGCATAAAGTCTATTCTTGTAAAACCTTCTGTTGTGATGCACTGATCTTAGTAACAGTATTATAAACTGTTTGAGGTGGTGCATTATCTCGATTAAAAATTAATTTTCTTCATAAACCTGTAAACCCCATTATACGAACTTTTTTTATCTAATTGGTCTAAAAGGCTGGAATAATAGTCTTAGTTTATTATTTTACAATATATTAAGTTCTCTACCAATGAAATGCACACAAAAAAAAAAAAAAATAATATTAGCATTTTAATGTTGATTACTGGATCCCAACTCACTTCGAAACGGATAGTCTTGTTTTGCTCTATAGTTCTATAATTCTAAACTTTAAATGAAATCTTTCTAATTGTCTTTAAATCGTATCTATTGTGTTTTATTGCTTTGTTCTCTCTTATCGTACACAGAGTTGTTTGAAACATAAAACTTTATAAAAAAAAACTGATCCTAGTAAAGGACTTGGACTTTCTACTCAGTCACTTTTAGTGGATATATCAAAACCATATGTTGTAGTTAAAACAAAAAATTAAACAATGAGTTGTTTAATATTATTGCCCATATGAAAAGGCAAATAGAAATATGTTAACATAGAATATCACAATTTCCGAGTATATATCTATTTCACTCTAAGTT